TAATTATTTTTTTATATTTTTTGTTAATTCTGTACTTCAAAAGCACACTAACATAAAGTTAGGCACTACATTATTTGATAGTATATTTTAACTGCAAGGCTGAAATATGCTTTCAGTGTTTTTCATAAATAAGTTCATAAACTTTTTTTTAAAGTTATATTAATTATATTATATTATAGTTTATATGATTTTATTACAATATTTGCTGGCAAAAACAATATGTCTGCACATTACCTTTTACATTGTTGCTTTTTCATGATTTGTTTTATATTTTATACTTGTTTTAATTGTTTTGTTGAACCGTCAATAAGCTGTTTACTGGCAAGCTCCATTGCAACAACTTACCCCATATAGTGTGAAAATCTGCTACTGTTTTTTATTGAACCTTTTCTTGGTTATTTATTTATTTATTTTCAAGACTTAAAGATACATGCATGGACAGAAATTGACTTTCAAAAATACACCCTGGGAAATATTGACTGGCCTAAAAAAATTTGACAACTAGCCCAAGTATCCCTTATATCAGAATGTTTGCAATATGAAGAGATGCCTGCATGATTAAGACTTACCATGCATCACCTAAGCTAAAGTTAAAAACTTATTTTCACCTTTCTTCTTTTGTTTGATATTAATCAAAAAGTTCTTACCAAATAAATGAAATAAAGGGAGAAATCTCTAAACACTTTGTAGATGTACTATTTTATGTTCTTATGTAAATGTCCAAAAAAATGCTTAATAAAACTGATGGTTTCATCTCTAAATTCTGACTGGTCAAGCTAAGTTTACTTAGATATCAGAAACTAGTATTTTTATTTTATTTTATGTTTTGCTATCTCTTCTGCTGTAATTAATAAAGGATTTAGAAACATAATTTATAATTTCTGTGTGATTAAACTATCACTGTCCTACAGGCCATAGATCATTATTAAACATAATTAAAAAGAATACAAGTTTCTCTGACATTATTAATGACAGAAATGTTGTGCTAATTCAGTGATTTCTACAACCCTATACTTAAACTTACCTTATCAGACAGAGCCGGGGAAAAAAAAACATGACAGTTTCACCCTCCTGGACGCAGGCAGAAATATTGCTACCCCTTTTAGCCAGAGGACAGGGACCAGGCTGAAGATGAATGGATGCTCCCTTTGAGATTATGCTGTGAAAGGGATGTACAGAGATGTCAATAGATACTATCTTTTACAACTTTTAACGTGTTACACAAATCAGTATAGCTAATGACCGGGACACAGACGGCAGAGCTTGGGACCTTCCGTGGCCGATAAAATTGATTTACCTGCTAACACTGAGATCAGTGCTGCTTGAGAAAATAAAAGAAAAAAAAAATAGCCCAGAAGCCCTGAACAAATAATAGCACTTTCATCTGAGAAGGGAAGCTGTGCCTATAAGTACAAGAATAATGGCCTCAAATCAGTATGTCAATACTGCCCGAACCAGGATCATGTGGTCCTCTGGGTTCACATGTTTGTATCTGTTTTCTCCATTTATGTTGTATGTTTTATTTGCAGTAGTATAAGCACTTTTTTTGTTACTGTATTTATACAGTTTTGTAGTACCTGTATTTATTATTGTATTAGTATTTTTACTTTTTGGAAAATTTTACTTCACTTCATGTTATAAAAAAAAAGAGAGATCTCGAGTCTCCAGTTACTGAAATTACTGAGTTGTTCCAAATCAAAAATGAGACACGGACAAGAAGTAATTTGATCCTCAAGAGCTTGTGTGTGCTATATGAGCGTGTTGTTTGATGCTGTTGCTGTTTGAGAACTAAATCTGCTAGAAAAAGTGTGAGCAGTTTGGTTTAAATATGAAAAATAAAAAAAACTAGCTTTCTATTTTTTCTATTCTATCTACTTGTTTTTCTTTGTGTGTGTGTGTGTATAATATATATATATATATATATATATACAGTGGGTAGATCCTCTCCAGTTCTGTCAGGTTGGATGGTAAACGTTGGTGGACAGCCATTTTTAGGTCTCTCCAGAGATGCTCAATTGGGTTTAAGTCAGGGCTCTGGCATGAACTACTCGAATGCTGCAGACTAGCTGACAATTCATCATAATTCAGAATAATGTCAGACTGAGCTCAAACCAATCTTAGCAAAATCCTGAACTTGTGTGTAGGACATTAGACCCTCTCTCCTAAAATAGATATTTTGTGCAGTAGGCTCATATGAAATTACATACCATAAATAAATAAATGCATAAACTATGGTCCACTGATCAGTACCTACTTACGTGCATTAAATTGCTACTTTCTGCTTTTACTCAAGTCACATTAAAAGGAGGTTTTAATGCTTTTTTTTTTTTTAATTAATTAAGGTATTTGTACATTAACTCAAGTAAACACCATTAGTAACATCACCACAGCAGAATCACCAAATGGCCATAGATTCCCTTGCTGTCCTTCCTGGAGAGCTTGAGGTATGTTACACCACGACAGGCACCAAGAGCAGATGGTTAAGCAAATTTGTGTATGTGTGTGTTCTCTCTCTCCCACAAATGGCCTGAATGTGACCCAGAAATGACTTGTGCTTGTCAAGAGCAGAGGGTATGTAAATGGTATCTTCTGTATGGGACTTTGTTACCGCATTTCACAGTGGGGAGGGACAACATTACAGAAGCTGACAAACAAATAGACCCACCAACATTTGGCTGGCATCTGCTGATTTTACACGCTCCTGAAAGCAGTTGAAAGAACATTTTCTCTCCAAAAGTTCGCTTAGGTCTACAACTCAAAGATTTCCAACATGTTTGTGCTGTGCTGGGGTCAGTTTTCACCACCTGTGGTGACTACCGACCCTAGCCCAGCTTTCCTTTTTTTAAGGACACACCCCTTCTTTTGTTAGCATTCTGAATGTGTTTGAGATCAGGCTACACTGGTATGAATAGGGCTGGCACTTAGTAAATTACCGTGTTTACTTTCATCATTCTCCTGCGGGTTTTACTCTGTATATTTGTAATTTTTAAATGCTTCTAGCTGAGAAGGTTATGCAATATTATTGCATAGGCCGAAATGTTTAGAAAGAGTGCTGCTATGAAGAAGGAAGGAGCTGAGGCTTTTTTTTCACTTACTTTTCTCTTTCTTCTAGAGTTCTTGGCAAGTTGAGCTCCCAATTGGTGCAGCATATGGCGGCTGGGGTCCTAAGGAGCGAGGTGTGGCTGTCTGTGCATGTGCCAGAGCCTAATTACTTACTCATTAGTACCCAGGTGGCGCCTACAGTCCACTCTCTCTCACACACACACACACACACACACACACACACACACACACACACACACACACACACACACACACATTCAGGTTATAGCCACTACTCCCTCATTTCGTCAGTTACCTACTCAGGACAAGCAAACAAAACAATTCACAGGAGTTTAATTAAAGTAACCATCTATCTGCTACTAATAACAAGACTAGGCTCTTATTTGTATGTTTGAACATTGATATTGAATACTTGATTAATGTTCTTGAGCAGTCATAAACATTTACTTGAATTATACTCAATTTTTCTTTGACTTCAGGTTATTTTATATTTTTTGTATTTTGTTCAATTCCTGGAGTGTAAAATAATTATACATATATATATATATATATATATATATACATAT